ATATTGGGTTGGCAACTAAGTAATTGCCGATTTCAGTCATAGATGTCTCTCACTCCCATTTTTATGATATCCATAAATGTTATATTATAAAGTTATTATTATTATTATTATTATTATGTTATTTTTTATTATCCGTGAATGTTAGCAACTGGACAAATTGAATGCAGCGGTCGAGGAAAAGCGACCAGAATTGGTCAATCGTAAAGGTGTCATTTTCCACCAGGACAATGCTAGGCCGCACACGTCTTTGTCCACTCGGCAAAAATTGATGGATATTGGTTGGGAATTGATGTTACACCCACCACATAGCTCTGATCTCGCGCCATCGGATTACCACTTATTTCGACCCCTGGACAACTCTCTTCGTGGTAAAACTTTTAACGATGATGACGCTGTAAAATCTCATTTAACTCAGTTTTTGGCCGGAAAGGATCAGACTTTCTACGAGCGTGGAATTTTCAAGTTGTCAGAGAGATGGCAAAAGGTCATCGAACAAAATGGAAAATACATTACAGATTAAACTTCATTCCAAACTAGTTACGTAAAAATCTAATGTTTTTTTTCGGATACTTTGTTGCACACCTGTAATCGTATAAAGAAAATATCCATAGCTAAATATTTATGTTAATTATTGTATATTATTTTGAAATGGATATATTTTTTTAACGTACTCTACAAAGATCCGTATAAAAGCGGGTAATCGAGTATACGTGCAGCAGAAAAAGGGCAGAGTTCTGAGGTATGCAATTCGTGAAACGATCGCAACATCCATGACAAATTCCTCAAAACATAAAAAGTGTTCTTACCACCTAAAGAAATATTTGGAAAGACCAGACGTTCCAGATGCGACGACTGCGCGTATTTTCCTTCTCTTTTTTTGCTCGTTGTTCGAACATCTGTGACTGTATTGCTGTCAGCATTGCGTATACAGAAACTAACTTTACGGTGCATCGGACGAGTTACAACATTTATATTTTATCTGTCGGATGAGCGGCGCCTACCGCAGAGCCAATTAACCCTGCTTTGTATGCGGGACGGCCCGGAGAAGATTTTTACCTTTTGTAGCCGGGTGTCTGTTCGAAGACGCGTCGAGCGATAAAAGCGCACCCTCGCATTCAAAAGATTATTTTCTCCATCTTTTCAATTTTTCCCGACAAAACCTCCGCGGCTAAAAGACGTAAAAACGTTCCCGTGCTACTGTAAGTACACCATGAGAATCGTAAACCCCCAATCAGCAGCAATGTCACGAAGGTATAATCTCGCCCCCCCCTCCTCCCGCCCCTCTTCCAAGCTATTGTGTAGCCTTTATTCCCGGTATTGTGATCGTGTTCTATCTGCGGTGAGAGTAAAAGTACGCCGATCCTCCGCCGCATAAAAAGCTAACCGACTGATTCACACCGACCCATCTTATCGTTTGTTCTTCGCCGATTCTACGTGTATCTTGAATATTCAAAGTACATCGCGTTCCTGCGGTTTACCGAAGTTTGTCCGCACAAGGACCGATCAAGGCTTCCGCCTTTCTTTCTTGTACGATTTTTGGTAGACATTGATATTCATGGCGCGAGACCCGCGACGCAATCCGCGGGGCCTTTTGGTTTACCCAGAAACATTCGATTGACCCGGCTAACGCTTTCGGACACCCGTTAAATCGACGCCTCTTTGTCCTCGACGGGGAACAAAGCTCGACGATCCTTTCCTGTCGCAACGATCTTCGATTTCCTGCCCCTTTGTGCCCCCTTGCAGGTTCCACGACTTTTCCTCGCTACGTGACCAACGCTGCATTATCTGTTTCCCTCTTGCTTGTTCTTTTCAGTGGTTTTCTTTGGAATCCATCTTGGCGTTAGGCTCTCGGCTGATCAAAGGTCCAAGCATAAACAGTACTTCGGTATCTACGGAGTTGCGTCTGATAATCAGACAGCGGATTTTTATACGAAGTAAAGTTTGTCTAACTCAATTGTCATAAACAGAAACAGAATACAAATATATTTTCTCTGCGAATAAATTTAGTAAGTTGAAAATAATATATATACAATAGTGTAATATAATATAATATCTTTTACCGAGATCTACGAAAGACACTTTTTAAATTTTCATTATAGGCTCAGAAAAAAAAGTTAAAAAACGAGAGATTTTTATTTTTTTGTCATTCCAAGTAATAACAAAACTTAAAAAAAAAATCATTTCAGCTATCGTCTAGTAGACTAGCCCCCCTATCATCTAACAAAAATTCGAGTCATTTAGTTCAGTTTTAATATAGTTATTGCGTTTTAAAAGGTGTACGAACACTTTTGTGGGCCACTGTATATGTACATAATGGAACAATATGATTACAACTTTTGGCATTCGTCCTCAAAGAGTTAAATGCCCTTCTAGAAACGACAGAAAAAGAATGTGTATCAATCCTTTCTATTAACTCTTAGGGAACACAACAAAACTGCAGATAATTATGGTATTTCCTAAATCAACAGTTTTTATTCCATAAAATCTGTATCGATACAATCTTTTATCCAATTTCATTGCAATCCGATGTTCTACTATTTTATATTTTTTTAAAATAAATACGTTGGAGTTTTTGGCAGGTGATCCGACATATTCAAGTGTAAATAATTGAAATTACAAATTTAGACATTGGCCATGAAACCTGCATTCACCAGACCGCTATGGAGTATTGTCCCAGTGACTCTATCAGTTCTCGTACCGCAGCCTTCGTAGAGTAATTAAAAAGTAATCCACTAGACTTAGCGTTTCTACCCGAGATAATTAGGAGGAATTCCAGTGGAATTATCCTCTAGTTTACGTCCCAAGAAAGCAAATAAAAAAACTGTTCCGCCATACACCTAAGCCCAGAGTGTAGTTAAGTGGAGATATAGGGCTTTACTATGGGCTCGTGTAGGTTACGTGAATCACTCTCTGTTGATATTTCGTCTCTCTCTCTCTCGTCACGAGACTTTCCACCAAAACAAGGTCGTAAATCTGTCAGGGCTCTTCTACTTTTCAGGAGCTTGAGAAAGTTGATTATATTTTATCACACTTTGCCCTGCGAAAGGTTTCTTCCACGTCTCGTTCCTTTGTGCAACAATTTTCCAGTAGAGGAAAGCTTGTAAATCATTTACAGTAGTAGTTATGATATACATGCAGCAATATTGATAATGGATTCGCCCAGTGCCGGAACGAGAGACGAATAATTCGATGTATGCGATTAGAGGAGTTGTAAAAGTGCTGTGTAACTATGCTGAAAAATCGACGGCCTGGCACCCGTGCTCGATCATTTCGAGCGTTGTTTGCTAACTCCAAGAATACGTTCGGTAATTTGGAAACGGTTACGAGGCTCGTAAGAGCGAGCTCCGCGCGTTTGTACTTCTCACTGGTTAACTTTTCGTGCCCACCTTCGTGGTCAGACAATAACGATCGTGTAAGCTGTTTTGTTTTTTATTATTGTGCAAAGTGCGTTCACACGTACGTTGCTCCGGACTGCCGGAAATCGCTGCACGTGCACGGGCATATCGAAACAAGAACAAAGAGCTGGCCGCACACGAGGGAGTTTCCCGCACCGAAATAGACAGTTTCTGCGCGGATCCTCTGCGACAGATGATTTTCCGCAACGACAACAGCCACTCTCACTGTCGCGATAAATTCTTTCTTCCATTTCTGTGCGCGTTTCACCGGGCATCTGAAACAAGTTACACGCCAAATTAACACGGTCGTCATCGCCGTTCGTTTCGCTATCGTGGCTTACGATTTGATGTATAGTTTATGTTTTAGTAATTCTTTACCATGTGTACAATATTGGTCCTATAAGAGGAACATAAAGGATTTTCCATGTTTAGAATACGAGATAGTGGGCGGAAGTAGCATACACGTTAATACGATATCGCACGGTGGCCTAAATCGAAGAATTTCGTGACATTTTGTCATAACAGTGACTTTCCCATATTGATATCTAATTGTAAGATAAGATAAAACAGACAAGCCGTGGGCTTCTGTCGGGCCAATTCTCCCCTGAGTAATTCCTTGACATATTTCCAGCGCTGCGTACACTGAGTTCACCGGAGACTCTTTATAACAATAGTCTTTGTCTTTCGTCGCTGTCTAACATTCAGAAGACTATCTACCCGCGAGACTGTCAAGGTCGTGTTTATTTTGAGCGCGGTTCGTTTCCCCTATTTTGGAATGGGAGACGAAAAGTTATAGCCGTTGATATTTTTATCTATCGAAATGGTAGAAAGCCCTCCAAATTACAAATAACAGATACATTTAGTCGATTCAGAAAGTACCGGCCCTAGAATCTTATTTTGCAAGTAAATAACAAGAAATCCACTCGTTTGAATAACACATCGAAGAAACCGCACGTTTGTATTAATTTTACAGGTCAAATGTTAATGCATGTATATAGATTAGTATTAAACTAAAAACAGTTAATAATTGAGTCATTCAAGCAAGTGGAGCTTAGAAATTAACGAAGATAATTCTCACTTTGCATAAAGATCAGCTGTCTAATCATTTGCTCCAACAGGATGCGCAAAACGCCGCTAATTAAATACTTGACTACCATTTGTCGACGGAGGGGGTTCCAACATGGCTTCCTGTAAAGTCAAAAATGTCACTAATGATACATTAGTCGTTACCGAGTTAAAACTTGAGACGTTACAGCCATCCCGTCGCGCTGATTTCCCATTTACGAACGGTCTGAACAATTAGAAGACAACTTGATCTATTACACATTCATTAGCAAAATTATGCAAGTTAACGACCGCGCGTAATTTACCTGGAAAAGGGGATCTGGTTCTTCGCGGTGGGTTCCTCGATTCCGTGGAAGTGGACGTCTCGGTACGACACGTTGATTGGCCGCGCGCTATCGCGCGAATCAGCAATCAAGATGGCGATGACGTCAGGTGGCGGTCGCTCGGCTCTGATTGGTGGGGGGTCGAGCGGCCGTCTTTCTATATAGTTTCCCAGTCACATTGGCGGGCTCAGTAGGGATACGTAAGCACGCGCGACAGTAGTCGATCACGTTGTACAGCCGTACGTGACAGAGTGTTGTCCACGGAAGACCGAGTTCTCTTCTTTTCGTACTTTCGTTTCGTTTCTGTTAAATTCGATTTTATACGTTAGTGCACAGGTGACACTCGGGCAAACAGAAGGTGACACCGTGTTTCCGACGCGAGTGCTTGCGACCCGCGTTCAAACCGACCCGTCGATCGAACCGTTTGCGCGAAACATCAGCCACTTTTTCCAGTGAAGTTTTGAAAGCGTATCCCGCTTACAGATGTCGCAACGTGTACCTAACGAAGGCTTTTACGACATTGTCGAAGATCACAGTTACACGATGTTCTCCATGTACACGCCGACGTCTAACCTGCCCGACCCGTGGCAGCTGACGAAAGAAGAAAAAGCTATGGTAAGGGGCACTGTTTCAATGACATTTTATTTAGCCAGAAATTGCGTAATTGATCGTAAAGTTTCGCGGCGTGTCGATGCCTGGTCGAGTCAACACAAACGAATCGTCCATCGTGCGATCGTTCAGGTGTCACGGTCGAAGGTCGATCGATATTATTCAAAGGAAAGCTAGCCGTGAACGCGGTTGAATGTCGCGTGGGTGTACTACGAACGTTACAGTTAGAATTGATACGTAAATACTTAATTTGAAAGTCTCGTTCGATTGATCGTGCAACGAGCCGCTTTTTCCGAACCGTTTTTTGCATGCAATTAACGAATGACATTTACTTACTTGGAAATGAAGGGTATGTTTACGATTATCATTGTTTGGGATTTCCACTGCGTAATTATGGCAGCTCGAACGTTTGCCTGGATACAGGCAATGTGAAGATAAGGTGACGATAAGGTATAATGGAGTAGTATAGTAATCGAGCCAACGATGACTTCTTTGCTGGATGCTTCTAAGAAGTACTCTTATCACATTAGATCGTGGGTTCTCTTACCTGTCTTTTACCTGCCTTTTTGGTCTCCGTGCGCTCATTGGGTCAAATTGTCGTGTGGAAAAATTAACTATTCAAGTCAGGCTTACAACCGTCCAATAACCGAGTCATATTATTTTTATGATAGCGAGTTTCGAGTCGGATGCCATTTTCTTGTCATCGCGCAATGGCATTGCAATCGCCATTTCCTTTCTGGGAATCCTCAAGGGTTTTGAAAGGCCGTGTTTATTATAGGCTCTTACATTTTATGTGCTTCTGAAGGTGGTCCTTGTATTTTGGCGATCCATGCTGGCATTGGACAGTCGTTAGCGTAGCTTGTCCCGTGTCCTGGGTTAATGGCAATGGCCTCAAATTAAAGTCGAATTTAGGTAAATCCCTGCTTTCAGTACCGCTCGAAATTACCCGAACATTATCTACTCAAACAATCTGTTAGACCGTGGCATTTACATCCAAAATTTTCTAAATCTCAAAAATATAGTAGAATTTGAAGAAATTCAAATTTTTGGTCATTTTCATTATATGCACGCAAATCTATTTATTTTAATTTTGAAATGAATACAACAGTTTGTCTTGCAAGTCTCTTTTTTATAAACATGTCTTGTTACGAATTGTTTAAGATATCAACAAACTGTTGAGCAATACAATGAAGCACGGATATTTAGCACTCGAACCTTCGGTTACACGGTATTTTTCTAATTTACAATATTTGCCCTTCGAGTCGTCCGAAGACTAATTTCCCAATTGTTTTGAGCGACGTGCTCTTTCGAGTCGTTGAACTCCGAAGACCGAGGAAAACATTCACCCACGAAATTTAAGAATACTTTGCGCGTCTGACACCGAAGGAAAACAGTTAAATCTGACAGGAAGCCAGGAGTTAACGCTCGTTAACCCACCAATTAGAGGGTTTAGTTAAACGAAGGCAGGGTTAAGTTTAGCGGGAGCAATATGAACGGGTCATAAGGCAAGAGGTGTCATCCTGCCTCTTAGCCTCGCAAGATGACGATGGTTTTCTTTCTCGCATTGTCTCGTAAGAGAATGCCACTGTGGCGCTTCTTCTATTAGTAGATGTTTAACACTCTCGAACAACGGTGGTCGGGTCTGTTTCGACCCGAATTGAACATTTCAAAACAATTATACCATTTCTCAGTTTCTTAGCCGTACAACAGTAGGTTGAGATCTTTTACATAAAAGTTTTAGTATACCGATTTTAGCTAATGTTATTGCTAGATTATTTGAATATTTGAATTTTGCAACCTTTATTTATATACTTACAAGAGGGTTATAAATAGACAGTGGGTGGCAAAAACTAGCATAATTAAAAACAGTTTATTGTGCTTGGTTCTTATGTTCTGAAATTTAGGTAGACAATTTTTATTTTCCATAAAGATCCGCAGTCTAGTTTTGAATGTCAGAGTATTATATTAAACAGAATATTTTCAAAAGATGGTAATAATGGTTTGAATGCATCTGGACATCGACATCCTCGGAATCATTTAACAAACAGTATAAATATAGTTATTTGACTATTTAATTTCTAACAATTTAAATGTTCGCATACGCTATTTCATTAAGGTCTATACAAATCTTAAAAAAATATGTGTAAAATAATTGATAAATAAAATTATAAATAATCCTTGGCATATAAGATGTGTATCTAAGATTACAAATCTCGTAAATCATTCGGAGAAGAGTTCCGAAAACGATACATCTCGTCTGCGAGTGATCTCGAAGCCTCGTGAAATCACCCGGTTTTTTCAAAACCCGATGCAGCAGAGCGGACACATTCTTCGCATGAATCACCAGATACCGGTTAGTACGATCGTCGCCAACGACGATCGCTCCGAAAGCTGCGTCAAATTATCCGCTTCCGGTATCGGGAAAAAAATTTCCGTCGTCGATGCGGTCACCGATAGAAACCAACACCCAATTCGATTTGCATAAAACCTGCTACGGTTCTTATTTCTCGCGAAACTTTACTTACCTGTTCCGAGCGCAATGTGGCTTGTCCGCTCACATGCGCGCGCGCTCACACGGGTGCCCGTGGGCTTGCTCTTTCTCTCTTACGAGCCGGATGAATCATCAAGCGTAGTTTTACCAGCGATTTATGAATGAAAATCCACGCACGTGTCGCGTGCGCGCAGGTTGCCGTCGCGACACGCGAGATCGCCCGGCATTATTATTCGCGACGCCTTGTAAATACGTCGATTATGTGCTGCCCTCGCGAGACACCGGTACCAGGAAAATGGACGCGGTTTGCGTGCACTGGTCTCACCGTCATAGGTAGCAATTGATGGTTTTCTTCATGGTCTCGTACCCGGAACTGCGACTATGTCCTCTCGCGATGTGGAAAATCAGATCCGGGTTTCCACGTTTAGCGTCTCCGTTATCAACATTTATTTCTATATCAGCTCACAGACGATACATTCTTAACAATTTTAGTCATACTATCGTTCCTCAGTCTATCAGCTACGTTATCTCGGTGGCTTTGTTCCTGAAATGATTGCCGTTGCATTAAGCCTTAAAATTTTCTAGTAAAATACAGGAAGACACTGATTAACCCTCTCTTCGAATTTACCGATGACTTGAGACCAAAATAGGACAATTTTAAGGCCAAATAGAGTATTAAGAAATTTATTAACTAACGATATGTGAAGCAGAGATTATAACACAAAATATTGCCACTTCTTCATGACGAGCTCATATACTCGTTAAAAACAGCTAATTGGTTCAGAAGGATATATCCTTTGATATTCTTTATCAAATTATATATTTTATAAAAGTGTACATTAGAAAATCACATATACAGTACAATTACAGTAACTTGCACACTTTTCAAAGAGATTGCAAAAGCTAATTGCTTAAAATGATTCCTTTTCTTGAGAGCTTTTCCTTTTCTTTTTCACACGCTACGCAATAAAATTTTATTAATCCTACGATTACTTGTGCCGGACTCGTTTCTCACACACTCGCACTGATATTTCATTAATCATATTGATTACGAGATCTCGGAATACGTATTAGTGAAATAGTGAAATATTGAAAAGATAAAAGTTGCAGTCGTTTTAAAAATTCGTTCATAATAAAGAGTCTGTAAAAGTTAATTAATCTAATCATAATATCTAATCTAATCTAATACATAAATAGAATCTTGAGAACGATTCAGTCAGATTGTAGATCTAGATTCTTAATATTTCCTTAACCCAAAGCCGCTTAATGTTCCATAAAAACTTCAGTTAACTAAAAACGCGTCCTGTTTCAAATAAATTTCTTGTCCTATTAACCATGCGGAGCATAAACCATGAAGCGTTACGAAAGCGTGGTAGCATAACAGCTGTGTAATGGATGAAATATAGTTAGCTGTTGTCTCGAGCCGAATCTGAACTAGAAGTCGCTAATACGGCGGTACATTTGGAGGAGTGAAAGTTTACCGCTAATAAATTTGTGTCGGCCCGTTCAATTATCGTTTTCAGATCAATATTTATTCAGTCCGCTCGCCGGAACGTTTGCAAAATTTTCTGGGCAAACGCTGACGACGGTGATCTTTTTGTAAACCGTCCGCAGTGAAACAATCGACGAGAAAAAAAATATCTCTTGCCGAAGAACTGTAATGACTGTAATGACTGTAATGGATGCAAGGAAAAATCCGCAGGATCGGACTATAAAAGCGACGCGTAACTTTCCTGCTGGTTTGCAAAGAGTCGCGTAGAACTGTGTTGCGAAACCGCCTTTAACACGCTGCGCAAAAACAATTTCACAATGGAGATTCAGTCTCTCGCGGCAAGGAATTATTGCGATTGGCTGCGCTAATGCGGACTAAAATACGAACTTCGAGAGCGTTGTAGACGCAAGATACATATATATATATATTCTTTCTTCTTCTTCTTCTTGCCTTTTCTTTTTATTCCGTACGACTAGCTGGTAATCCGGTGTAGTCGACCTCGAAAGGAGGTCGATTCCACGGAAAGATATCTCGTGTACGAATGACGTCAACGCGTTAACACTTTCCCCTCGAGAATGCCTCGAACCATCGTGGACCTCTTCAGGTTTACGCTTTCGTGGGATTCTACTTTTCCTCGTAGCTGC